ATCATATTTGAAATGATCCCTGCAAAGATCTGGCGCACTGCATCTGGTGTAAATCGCGAAAACCTTTAAAAACGGTATTAGAGGCAAGGTCAAACAGAAAGTGGGTATTGTGCCGTTGAGGCATTTCTGTAGAAGCATTTCTTCGGTATTCGCCGTGGGGACAGTCTTTTCTGCTCAAAAAGTTAAGGAGCATGCTCAAGGGCTCATCGCTCAACGACTGGGAAATATCTTTTCAGCTAATTAAGAAACTTTCAACTTTTCACTTGAATTCCCTAAGCAATAGTGTGAATAATAACGTCACTGTCAAAGTTCAAACAACGTGGCCCAACGATGGGAATCACTGTAGTAATACGCGCAACACCCTCCTTCTGCAGAGGCACCGTGGCAAATGTTTTTGATACGGTTCGTTTCTCAGGAAAGAAAACACGGAGATTCTTCGTTCAGTAACCGTGATGAAGCGATTCTCAGTAGAAATCGGTGTCAAGACCGTTCGCCATTTTGGCGCCTATCCTGCACATGTTCAGGGGCGCAGTATGACATACAGGAACGGGGAAAGTATACGAGATTTATCACTCAGTTTTTCTTAATTTTGAAACTGAACATTCCTAACCAGCATATTCTTACTGAATTGACCAACCATTTAATAGAGCTGCTTCGTTTGTAATAACCACCATAAATATTGGAAGTAAAATAGAGTATAATAATTTTATTCTCAAATAAACCAGCAACAAAATTATAATTACAAAATAAATTAACAATATTTCCTTCTATCGGATTAGATCATGTTGAACTTTCATTAAAACCTAGCTGCACTGTTATATTACACGGCAGGTCGAGAGAACCTTCAAACTACAGATCCAGGATTTTGTCCTCCCACATTAGCTTGCATCGGCAGTTGGGCTTGGTTGGCCTGTTCAGGATTCAGTTATCCGGATATGAACGTTTAATTCAGTACCAGATGTGTGCCCTCTAGTAGTTTCCCGTCGCCTTCGCTATTCGGTTCAAATTTCCTTTTCCGAAGTCATTTGGGGATGTGGTCGCACTGATTGGAAGAACATTCACTGCCGTCCTTTTCCTCCTTTCTAGTTGGTCTCCGATCTCCGCCTGCTATTGTCGTCTGCACCCTACTCCAATTATTGCGCGGCGGAGATTTTTCCGCATCGTGTCCCGATACTTACGTGATTATTGTCTCCAGCATGCACCATATTAATGGCTTGATTTGTCCTTATTAAAGGACCGGATGTCGCTCTCTTACTGCTGATGGCATCCAAATGATCTCGGTGCGACCACTAAAGTGATTTCGTCTCGACGGAAGGTCTCGGCACCGGCTTATGTTGATTGTTTGTGGAGTGGGGGCCAGTCGGGTGTTGCAGAAATGATGAGTGATGAGTAAGGCTGATAAGAGATTTACATCTGCTTGTTCGAATCTTAGCCTAAAACGGACAACGGAGATATTTGGTGTGGGGTAAAGAGCTATCGTAGTTCTTTGACTATCGAAATGCTGTGCTCCGTTTACTCATCAATTCCTCTGGTGTTGACATTAAGGAATTGTTTGCTCAAGAACAAGTGCGCATTACGATGATTGACACATGTATGCCCTCAATGACATGCTCGCCCTTTTTCCGGGCCGACGGGGATGATTTGTATGTACCTGAAAATCAATATAAGGAGCACGAAAACTCAAAGGTTCCTTTGAAATTTTAAACTTAGTTTCAATCTTCAAACCAAGGAGGAACTTTCGTCACATAGATGTTATTGAACAAAAGTGAAGCGGATTGACGCCGTGCAGTTCTGCCGCGATGCTTCGAGGTCTTAGAATAGTCACACAATCCTTAGTAGAAGTAGGATACACGGCGCAGTCCAAAACGACTTATCAACATGAACACTTCAACCCATTTCCCTTCTTTATATCACTACATCTTTTCACACAGCAGGCCGCTAGTTAGTCGGCAGCAGTACTACAATCGGTGATTGCTAAACGCTCTAAACATACATGATAGGCTCTCTTAAATGTCTTAGAAAGGATCTCTATTATTTTTTAGTCGGTAATGAGTCTCTTTGTTTACAGGCTCATAGCGTTACCGCACTTCCTCGATCCCTCAATGATAGATACTTACTCTCTCACCTGCACGTTTCCTGTGTTCTCCTAGCAACTCCTTTTAAAGAACATCGCGGCTTCTCAAATACCGCTGTATCACGTCCCTTTGATCCAGTACAGGTAATACTAACCACGTTCCAAAAATATGGAACCTTCGCACAGAAGTGTTAGCGCAGTTATTGCTCAAATGCGTCAATTTCTTTCAGCTGTTCTCATTCGACGGGCTGACGCCCGGGACTTGGTTTGCTTTCCGAATACACTACCAGCTCTACTACGAAAGTTCACAACCACAGCATGAACTGAAAACGAAACAGGTGAGTATTCACTTCAAAATGCAAATATTGGTGCGTGGTAAGTATGAACGAAATGAATCGATAGAATGTTGGCTAGGATGTTTCACTGTTACTGTAGTAGCCGCCCAGAACGAGATTCTAAACCTTCATCCAAAGGTTGCTCGTGTTTGAAGAGTCCTACTGGTTGCTGTACGAAAACAAAAAATCACGCACAAGCACATTGCGACTCTGGAGGTTGTACTATGTGGCGTTACTAACCATAAGTACCCAAATGATAGCCCCATCGAATTTTTTTGATTATCCCAACCAAGGATCCCACGTAGGACATATTCACTGCGTGTGTACATGTAAAAATGCAGGCAGGTTAGAAGTGGAGGGAACCATTCCAAAAAAGAAACGAATCAATTCAAATTTCTTCCACCATCCTCTCTCTGAAGACTGCCACGTACAGCTCCAAAAGTCCGCGTTGTTGTTGTTGGTGCTGTAGTTGTTTATGGACATCAGCGAACTCAATAGCTGCACGCTATAAGTATTGACCGTTGTGGTGGTGGACCAATGTTTGAAGCCAAGGGGTCGGGATTAGGTCCGAGGAGGCAGTCCTTCCTTCAGTGAAGAAGAGGGATACTGGCAATAGAGTCACGACACTATTTCAAAGTGCGTGGCAAGGCCCCTGAAGCCATGCCTTGTCCAGCGTCAAAGCTGTTATCCTTATCAATCACGGCATACGTTACTTTTGCGCCCTTCCGTGTACGACACACTCTCTCGTTTTCACTCTCCCCACAGCGCTGTGTGTCTCCATACCACAGCCAGACCTCCTAAGGGATGTCTAGTGATTCTATGGCGTTTTTTGCTTTTCCTTACTACTCACGTTCCTCGTCGCACTTTCTGTCTAATCTTCAAACAAAATAACACCCAATTGATCCCAACCCGTGCCTTCATGCGAAGAGGATCACTCTTCCATCCGTGATGGTAGCTTCCTTGAAGAATAGTGCTTTCACACCCAATACATGCTGAAACTACTTTTGCCGAGTTCATTGCCTCCAGAGTTCCCACATTCTGGAAAGTTCCATTAATAGCAGAGGTGTGCAGGTTGTAACGGTTCTCATATCAAAATTGCGCTGTCCCGGCCTCAAGTATAAACGTCCAGGTTTTACTTCAATTAAAGGAGTTTTGTTCAAGCTGAGATGCATCCATTTGGGCTCAGAAGGAACATTGTCTTTCTCAACGACCCACTCTATCGCTCTTTTATGCCTTTGCCTCCTTCTGCTTTTGTAAAAGAAATCTTTCACGAAAAAACGGTGATTCTATCTCCTCCATAAATCGTCAGCTTTCCTATGTGGGAGCCATTCTCCATGGCAGAAATGAAACAACGACCGAATGCTTTTCTTTTGGTAAACATTGCGAAATAAACCTAGGAAAATTATCATTGTCCAAATATTGTCGCACATCTGTTACAAATGTTGGCGGCGGGAGCGCTTCCACTTTGTCTTTTCGACATCAGAACGACTTCTTGACCTTCATGTGACGTTATCATTTCGTTCTCAATTGTACCTAATCTATCGAGCCTTTTGTCTCTACTCTCCAAATGCTTAGAGTCGTCCGTTGCCTAATACGTAGCCGTCCATCCACGTTCATCGTTCCATGGCACCATAACTCCGCCCATGGGTCAATCTGGGTCACAAAGTGTGCTTTTCAAAGGCTTGCTTCCTTTGAGAGGCTGGATTTTCATGCATGGAACTTTGGACGCTGTCTACAGTTATCGCAGATGACGATTTTATTTGGAGAGAAGAGCGACAGCAGCATTCTGTGCGTGGACGATTGCTTCAGCACTGTTGGGCACGAAGAGCTTCTTCTCCTTCTTATCCCTGGCGTGGATCCCACGCAGTCGCGTGGTTCGCACTATCAGGCACACAGAGCAAACGCACTTGTGCGATAATCCTGAAAATTGAAATCTTCTTCTCTTTGAATCATGGGAGGGAATAACGGCGGAATTAACGGGAAGTATCCAGTTTTTTCTAATCGGCGAACACTCGATCGCTCGTAATTTCCGATTGAGTAACTAATAAAGCGTGTTCGTTAAGGAAATTATCGTGCGAACGAAGGAAACGCAACAGGAAGACCCAACGAAAATCAACGACAGCATTGCGTACATTGACGACCTTTTTCTTACGAAGGACAACATCTACATTGGTGTCGCTTCGGTATTTAAGGACACTAAAAAGGTGAGGTTTTCGACCGATTTCGCTTCTGCTCTTGCCTGCAGTGGCAGCGTTTTAGTTCATCCATGCACTCGTCATCACCTGAAGACCAAATTGGGTCCCGCCACAGCGAGCTTTGTTCGATTCAATTCAACTAGATTATTGTAACGTGGTCCAGTGGAAGGAACTTTTGCAGGGCTAAGGTTTTGAACTAGCACAGAAGTGGGAAAGCAATGAAATTCTGAAGGCGTTTGGATTTATTGTTTATCACAACTTCTCAAGCCACTCACAGCTTGATTCACTTATGCAGTTACCCCTTCAGTCAACTGTGGAGTTTGCTAGTGTTTTAGGTGTTTCAAATCGAGTTCTGATCAACAAAAAAATTGTAATGTCCATTATTCATGGCGCATCCTGCCGTGCGAAGACGGCAGAAGAGTGTCTCGCACTACTGTCCTATTTACATACATGTAGAGATGTTGGTCAAAGCCTTGATAAGAGAGTTTTGGAGCCTTAACAAGTTTGGGGTTTCCATGAAGCTTCACACTTCATTTCCGCCCATACTGCTTAGTGGAGAGGGTTGGTTAAGCTCTTAGGATCCTTTAGACAGAGGCGAAGCGTTGGTTGTTGCGGTAAAAGCTGTCGCTACCCAAGTGTACCCCGTTACGCCAACACTGAGGTCTGCTTTTTAGATGGCCATTCTACCACTTGCATACACTACTTAGCTGTGTGCAGCAATAACCAGATGATATCGGCAATTAGGTTCCAATCATCAACAACTTCTCATTGTTGATGGCATCCCGTGGAGGGCATCCTTTGCTGTGCGCTTCATGATGTTACTGGGCTCTTTTCGGTGCGGTCTAGTTCGACTCACATTAAACAAGGAGCATATTGAAGCTGATCAGTAGGCTAACAAACAAGTTTCAGTAGAATCTTTGTGTCCATTGAGCCTAGTTGGCAAGTGTGTTTCAGTGCTTCAAAACATTTTTTCGGACCCTCACAGTAACTTTCAGGGTATTAACTCCTACGATGGATGGCCTGCTGCAGAAAAATAAGATTAGGCTTCGGGGAAGAGAAGAAACTTGTTTTGATATTAGGAAAATTTTGAATCAAATAGTATTCTTCGCTGGCCGAATACTCATATCGTTCGTCTCTGCTTTCTGTCTGTATATTCCTCTTGAAGAACGACGGCACTGCGTAGTGCAAAGTATAATTTCGCCAAGGACCAAACAGGACAGAGTTGGCGAGCTTGCAATCAACGTTTTCATTCGCTTTTAGTATCATGTTGCGTGTTGCTTCATTACCCCTCAAGTGCCCTCCAGGGTGTTATCGGGAGGTCGCATTCATATGTATGCATCATCGAAAGGAATCATCTTAATCCCCTCACCAAATAGTAGAAGAAGCAAGGGGTCGGAGAACATACGGCTGCTTAAAAATGACCATTAGCAAAATAACTTACAAACGAAGTGAACAGTCGAACCGCTTTTTTGGAATATCAATAGGTGTTTTCAAATGTAATGATGCTTTTCTCAAAATGGACTTCAAACGTGAGTAGGTTTCTACCAATTCAAAGCGCATAAGTAGAACAAGTGGTCAGTGATATCAAACTTCTAGGTAACTGAATGCATGAGGCTTGGCTTCAGGAACAACAGGACCTTTTGAATAACCTTTCTTACTCATCTTCTGTCGCCGTCGTTTCGCATTGTTCAAGAATTATCACGGGAAAACATGACTGATTCCTATCACGTTGTTTGTGGAGCATCTCGCTGCAGAAAACCAGAATCGACATGGGGTTTGTCTTGGTGAAAAATCTAAAACACTGGGAAATTACTATTGTTTAAATGACATGTACTTTGTAACAAATGTTTGGTGGTGGTTCGCTCCACAAGGTTTTTTTTTTTCGACATGAAAAGACTTTTTGACCATCATATGAGGTTATCATTTCGTTCTCAATTGCATCCTAATCTATCGACTCTTTTGTCTCTACTCTCCGAATTCGAATGCTTAGAGGTCATCGTCGCCTAACAAAGCCGTTCGTCACGTTTTCTTCCATGAGCCCCTGCTCTGCCTGTGTTATATGTAGTATTAGCAGAAATATCCACGAGCTACCAAAAACAAATGAATCTCTTACTGAATTTATTTTTTCTTAGTAGTATGTACTAATAGATACATGGTGCACGGTGCACCCATTAGCCTGCGCGCCTGTTTGGATACGAGGCGGCATCTTGCATTGCCACAATACAAAAAGTCTATTTAACACCATTGAGTGCCTCCCTGAAATTTTCTTCTTTTCACATTCAAAACATTTCCAACATATCAGTCATTATAAGCAAGACTTGTTGTGACGATATTTAGCATGGTTTACAGAGATGTTCGATAATAGCTAATTTATGTGGTTTTAGGATGCGTCACTTAGCTCTGCAGTGTATTATCTGGGTTTTTTTCTTTATTAGGCTGAAGTCTAATTACTAATCAGTACCTCTCCGACGTTTCACAGTCTTCAGACACACGGAGGGATTTTTACAACTTCAAAAATTTCACTGTACATATAGTTTCCCGAAGGTCTACGCCAGATTTCTCTGAAAACGCAGTTTCCTTCCAGTTCCTTTCCTCTTCAAACATATATATACGAAGATATTATCCTACTATATATAATTCGCTAAGTATGTCTGTGTGTGTGTGTGTGTCTGTCTGTACGTACGTCCGTCTGTCACGAAATTCATAGCGCGCTTCGCTGCAGGCATGGAACGCTGTATTTTGAGTATGGTGTAGGGGTGGGACGGCAACATATTTGGTGGGGTTTATAAAGTGATACCGACTGATAAGATCTGATAAGAGGCGCCAAAACGCCAATTTCATGATATTCATAGCGCGTGTCCCAGCAGTGGTGGGGCGTTGGTTCCAAGAAGTGATGTACAGGGTGGGACGGGAACATGTTCGGTGGGGTACAGGAAGTGATAAGGGCTGATAAGGGTTGATAAGAGGCGCTGAAATGCAAATTTCATGAAATTCATAGCGCGCGTCCCAGCAGCAGTGGGGCGTTGGTTCCAAGAAGTGATGTACAGAGTGCGACGGGAACATGTGCGGTGAGGTACAGGAGGTGAGCGATAATTACGGTATGGGCGTGGACATATTAGATATCGGGGGCTATACGTGGTTATAGATAACGCATTTCACTTCAGAATCATCTCATTGCGTTGTTGTCATCAACATAAAATACCGTTCGACCGCTATATTCCCAAAATCCCTAAGAATGTATGATGGATGTTTAGCGATATACGATATTGGGTATTTTCTATTGCAAAATCATTGGCATCAATATTATTCGACCGCTAAATCATCCTGATATCCAAATGGTGGTTGTTTACAGACACCACTTAGCTCCGCACTCCACCGCGAGTATCAGACGGTGAGCCAGATAGCATTTCACATTTCACGAAGCAAGTTACTGTATATCGGCGGAAACTAACGCTCTCACTGGCTGGCCAGCTTTACGCAGCCCTTCCGTGTCATGCACGCGGTAGTGTGCGGAGCTAAACTGGTGCAGTTATATTTTGTTATTGTTAAAGTCAAAATTTTGATAGAAAAACTGCTTTTAGGGACAATTTTGCCCCTATGTTGAGCGAGAGTTGGGCGTGCCAAAAACAGGCCATGGTCTCGATTCCGCTCACGCGCAAATCCGCATTGTCGTCAAAGGGTTAATACAAACATTTACAGGTGATAACCGTTATCGTGCCAGAACTGCGTTGTTCGAAAGGAGTGCTGAAACCGCTGGCACAACAAGTAAGTCCGCTCCTACTGCTTTAAATGAAAACTCCGCAGAAATTCCAAAACTTATTAAAGGAATCTTCCGCGGAAAAAGCTCCGCCTCCATTACCACAGAAAAACGATACCCCTTAGGCCCCTAGCCTCATGAGCATAGCAAAAAGAACGGAACATAAGCGTTAGTTTCGATAATACTAACAAAATGATCACTCTTTCCGTGGAAGATTCCTTTAAGGTATCGTTTTCTGTGGTAATGAGGGCGGAGCTTTTTCCGTGGAAGATTCCTTTAAAGAACTTTTCGCTCTTGTAGAGATGTGTGCAGAATTTTTTTGTGCATCTTCTGACTTGTTACTCAATCTTGTTTGCTACGATATGAATCAGTTAAGTAAAAGCACTGACAACTTGCCCGCCTTTCAGTTTGAATTGAATAATCAACCGAATTTGGCTCAAATATCCTCCCCATTCTCCGAACTTGTCACCAAGGGAATTCCTATGGGACAATTTTTCTGAATCAAAGAGATCTAAAATAATTAAAAATAAGAGCCGCGATATCAATTTACTTCCGAGAAAAGTGGGACGAATGTTAGTGGTTTCAAGGTAGAATACTTGGGTTATGTGCTGTCTGAAGTGGTCAAGGTGATCATGTGCCTGCCAATGAAACTTATGGTTAGTTCGAATCGTCTTTCGACCCACACACAAAACATTTGCTACAGTCTTGTATTTCGAAACCTCATACTTCCCTTTTCTTCGCGTCGCTATTCAAAATCGAACCAGTGAGACGTTTCGCGGAAAGGAATGGTGTGGTAGTATTGACGAAGCGCAGCAACTCCTCTCCTCCAGTGAGGGACACATGCAGCGGGTCAGCTGGTTACGGTGGTTCTTCGGTGGCCTTCTGATGCTTCACATTTTCTCATCACCACCTGGATTTTGAAATGGTCGTGCATCCAGAGTTCCCGTAATAATTGCCTTGAATTAACCCTTTGTTACTGCAGCGTTCCAAGAAGCAGTCCTCTATGTTGCTAAATTTGCTCATTCTACCGGCCTGTGATGGAATCATTCTATTATGAACTGTACTGTGCCAATTCCTACCTCAGGTTCCTCTTTACTCGACATCACCGGCTGCAAAAAATTTCGCGATTATGTCCTTGTGTCACTC